TTATTTTATTTTTGTCAGGGGTCATTCTGTCTTTCCATTTTTAACTCACCCTTTTCGACTTGTTTATCTCATATTTCATCGACTTACATTCAGTTGTCATTTTGTGTCATATATAGATTACGAATTACCATGAATCAGCAAAGACCATGCTTTTGCGATATGTAGTAATCTTCACTTGTCGATAAAAATCCAATTATATCCACTCTTTCTATAATTCCTTAAACACATCTGGCTTTCAAACCAGACATTTTAGATCAACTGAAATCGCTCCTTAAATGTACCAGTAGGACTTCAATTTCCTGTTCGGTTAAGTGCGATCGATAGCCTGAGGTGACCAATCAGTATAGTGATTTCCTCCTTGTGTTCCGCTCCTGTCGATAACGGTAAAACTCGATTAGACGCAGGTGAATATTAGGATATGATTCCATTATAAACGTCTTCACACATACAGACGACATTTATACCAGGTGATGAAGCAATCTGAATATTACTGAGGGTCTTACTGATGTTAATTCAGTCTCTGACTTCAACTCGCTGCTTACCGCAGGATACTATAGCATCGTCTGTTAAAGTGATAATGGTTTACCCCATGGATGAACGGCTGCATCTCAACAGGAAGCAGGTTCGTACTGTTATGCCACTGGGGCATCCGATAGGTTTAGACGGAATAAAATGGACAAACATTTCAAATATCCACACGGGTGATCAAGGTAAAGAAATTAAGAATCTAGAACGTTGAGTTAAAAATGATATTTCATATTAAGTTTTGAAATAGAAAATACCCTTCGATTTGCCAGATATGCTAAATAATTTTAATGCGTAATTGCGGATATTTATATCGAATAGGTTATGCTATGGTTTGAGGTTATTTCAAGGACAGAATTGAAAAAAATAACTCGATATATAGAATTTAAACTGTATGTTTTTTCGTCTTTTTACCATGTTTAGTCGAGTTCTCATTTAAAATTAGATATCACATTCTAAAACTGTTTTGCATCGAAAAACCCATCACATACGTAGTTTTGGGTTAAAAATATACAATGTAAAATATTTTGATGTCAAAAAATGGTTGTGAAAGATGTTCGTTTTCATTTCGAATAGCTTTAGATTTAATCAATTGTATGCGTTTTGAAAGTGATTTTGTTAAATCAAAGAAATGCTTGTTTCAGACACTGAAAAAACAAGCATTTCAGCATTTCCAAAGATCTATGGCACAATCGCATTTCCCTGCAACATTATGACGGCGTATTTAAAGCGTATGACAAACTAAGACTATCGTATGTAACTTTATACTAGGTATATTGAATAAGTTCTAATATTTTACCAATGATTCATATTCTAACGTCATAAACGGTGTTAATGCTGGTTTTAAGTTGCTTGCGGAAAAAAAGCAACTGTATGACTGTAGATTGTATTTTATTCCGTTGGTATGACTAGAGTAGTTACTGTTTAAGCTGATGTTATGTGTAACGTTTATCCTGATATTGTTTCGATATACTACAATGGCTTGCATTCGTTTTACAATTTGATTTTTTCGTGTTAACATATAGATTTTAAAGTGACTAGCATCGCATTTTGCACACGAAGGATTGAAAATGTGAAGTTAAATACTAAAAGACACCTAATATATACACATTATTTAGACTTCAATTTATCCAGTTTCAATAGGTCCGACTAAGATTTATTAATATAACAACATATTCTGAGTTTAAAATCTTGTTAGTTTTACACGTTGAAATAGAACTGATTTGTTTTTGCCCTCCAGAACGCCGAACTTGTAGTCGCTGTGTAAGCGAGGGTGTAAAACCATCTATGCTTGCAAGATTGAATCAGCGCACAGAACGATAAATCAAATTACCGATCGAGCGATCGATGGTGGTGTGAAGTTGTTCTTTTCCTAATTAGCTTCATATTGGACGAGAACGGTACGTCTGAAATATGTATATCCCCAGGTCCTCATACACAAACATACATACGATAATTATTATATGTATGATAGTGTAAGGCATATACGAGAACATGTAATGAAAAGATCGAATGTTATTACATTTCAAATACCATGAGAGCCATTCGCCTGTTTACATTAATATCTAAAAACAAGTAATACAATTCTAAAAACAAAATTAATAAATGTTGAAAAACAAGCCTCTGTCGTAAAGATGATCGTTACACACACAGGTGATTGGACCTTTACAATCTGACACTGCATCATACAGCTGTTTCGTCCTTCCATCGGTGATGGTAGGGGCCAAACAGTTGGAAATCCTAATTAGTCTAAACTACTGTTGAATCAGAAGAGAAACATTCGTAAAACCGCCTGATCTATGAATTGCAAAATTTAAGGAGACCCCTGGTTATTTTCAAATTAAATAATTAAGTGTGTATAATATGAATCATGCCACTTTTCAAAAGAGATAAATGTAGCCATCACGGTTACGGCAAATCCCAAGGTCTAAACAAATCCACCAGCAAAGCCTGCGATAACTTCTTTATCAACATGTGTGTTATTGAAAGCAGTGCATTTTCCTGAAAATCTATGAGCTATACATTGTAACAGTGTGGAAACCGAAAGTGATTGATCACCTGTACTCCTCAAGATCTGTTTTGAAATTCATTTCTAAAAACAGGAATGTACAACATTGCGTCGTATGTAATTTCAGTACATACCATATACTACAAGTATTCCTAAAGGAAACGCAACAATCTATCGTTATAGTATAAGTCGTGTAAGTGATCAGAAGTACAGTTTAGTGGTACATTCTTGGTATATCAATATACGTAAGCGCATCACCGACCAAACAATTGAGCTGTTAAACTAAACAACAGACTTAAACAAATGGGTTATAAGCCTAACGAAAAGTAGTTAATACAGTTTTTACATTCTAGTAGCAGGAGGAAAGCTTCTCAAAGTAACAGCTACCTTTACAGTAAGCTTGTTAATATACGTTTCAGATTTCGGGACACACAGCAGATATTCCGATCTCAATGATCAGTGATCGGTAATGATTTTAGTTCAAGGCTGTGTACAGTAATCGGTAATGATTTCAGTTCTAGGCTGTGTATTGACAATTCCTATAACACTCCAGTAAATGCCTGGTAACAATGTTACGCAATGTCTCTGCTGTTTAACAGTGCATCAACAGTATCTCCACTGATATAACAGATTTCGATAAAAGTACAGCTTAATGAATTTAATCTTGTCAAGTTGAAACAAATGTCTCCGTTGAGAGGACGGAGCACCTAAGCCCGGATACTCAAATAAAATGGAAAAACATACCACAGCGTCAACACAAGAGTAAAATCAAGGCACATTTAGACTCTACATTTTCTACAGCGGTGTTGATTGATGTTTCCATGTTGGAAACCCTGGCTAAGAGGTTTTGTAGAGAATACAATGCGTCCTGAACAATCTGAAACTAAGACACTGAGTATCGCATCAAATTCAACACACTGACTCCCTTGGCAGAGGAGACTTGTATATTGGTACCTAGATAAGTTAATGATCTTGTTAAAATTGCCATATTTGTTATAGATTAATCACGCGTTTACCTTTTCCATAATGAAGGTAAGCTTTGATCTATCTAGTATGTTTTAAATCAATTCACTAATTATGTCTTTTATATTATTCTATTAAAATGACAGCGAAAAGGGGTGCTCCTATATTGAGGAAACATTATTGTTCAGGGGATGAACTCTCATCTGTGGCAGTCTCTAATTACTTTTTGCTTTGGGAAATAGAAGAAGACCGTTACTTTTAAAAAACCCTTTTTATGTGTGTGTGTTTTTGTTTGACTGTTAAGTTTTCTTGATTTTGTCCTCATTTTATTTTTGAATTAATACATTTACATGCAATTTAGTTATTATCAATATTAAATAAAACACCCTTTAAGCTAACCAGTCTTTGAGCGTAAGCTCTGACGTCGATAAATTAGAACGTGCAGGATTTCTACATTTTTAAACACAATATTGTCAACAAAATGGTGTTTCATGTAACTTAATTACAGTGTAAAATACATGCATTAATAAACAATCTATTCTGTAATGGTGAAATTCAAAGCTACAGATTATTACTAATTATTGAATCAACCTTATTACAACTGTCATGTGCTGACTTGTACTATTGGTTTGGTAAATTTGTTTGCTCAAATTTGATTTTCTTTAAAGTTTTTATTGAGCGCTTTAATGCTCCATTGTAGATGATATATAACGAGTTGTGAAACAATGTCCACGATATACCAACTTACATCATTTTCTGTCCAACACATGGTTAAGAAAACACTTTCTTGGGGAGCAAGCGCCCGCCATTTGAGTCCTGGGTTTGTCATTGGCTATTGACGTCATTGTATATTTTTTCGCAATACCCCCGATACTATTTGTATAAACATGTATACCATGGTGTGTGTTTTTGTTTTGAGAAGTCTGTTGACCTTACATCCATCGATGCACGCGGGCACCTGACTGCACTTTAGTTAGTCTGTGTTTTCCTGACACGTTTATTTCCTGTCTTATCAGTATCCGGCCGGATGCGACACTTTGTGCATTGAATACAAAAGGTATACTTTTCTGCAATAATGCAGGAAACACGATACGTTAAGATATGGAAGACAGACTTCCGAAAGAGCAAAATGGCGTCATTATTTCTGTGTTATGGTGTGAAGTGCTCGTGTGTATCAATATTGATGCTGAAGTCGCAGATTTGTTTTCTGTGCATATCACGATTTATTTTTTTAATTGAGCAGTCTAGGAACATTTATGCCAACAACGTACACTTTGTAGCTCTTATATTTCTCGGGAGTATTAAAAACATCAAATATAATCCTTGTGAATCTACTGTCCTTCAGGTGATGAATGAGGAAGGATAAGTGAATATTACCGATGCTGACCGGGGTGATATCGGCAAATTTGTTTCAGGTCCAAATATTAAGAAGTCTGGCTTTTAAAAGTGATACACTATAAATGTGGGTGATAACTTACACAGAATCTGTAAAATTTTATTTTAGGTGAGGTATCAGACAAATGGCAGTGACTCGTATTTGTTTGAGGTAATATTGGTATCTAGTTACGTCCAAACAAGGCACATTACACTACTAACCGATACGTATTCCCGATCACTTCCCGTTGTCGACCACACTTTATACCAGTATATATTATATCTAGTATTTTTATTCTGTTGTCGATTATTTACAATTTTAATTTACATAATACGTGTTTTGATAATTTAAATGACTATTAAAGCATATCGTATCACATATAACTGCACCCATGTATTTACTAGATTTCCAGTTATCTAGTACAAGACAGGGGAGTGATCTGTGAATAGTTAAGTTATTTACATTGATGACATGCACACACAACCCTGGTTATGGTCTAACGCAACAGGTTTTACTAATCATTCAACTTTTTTTCAGACGAGACGACTTTCTTTTAACTCCCATACCTATTTGAAAACTTTCATCTCCATTAGTCTGTTAAATCTGCTCCATCACTTTCAATAAGCAGAAAAGCAATTTATTTAGTTTTAAAATGCAACTCAGCATTCAGACATAACACCCTGTAGATCAAATAACATCTATGACGAAGTTAGATCAATTAACATGATGATGTGATAGTATATATATATATATATATATATATATATATATATATGTATCACTATATGGTATGTCTTGTAAATGCCCATTTCCAATGTAAGTGCATGATGGTAAAAGGTGTAGATAAAACCAATGTTAATTTCTAACTCTAGATTTGTATATACCTATACCAGGTGGTATAGCATATTTATTGCATGCACCAACCAAATCAATTGTGTATATGATTGTTTTCCTCTGTCATTAATCCGTTAACATGATAGTTGCTAAAGCAGTTTTTACTTAGCTTCCAAATAGCATTTAAGCATTCTTAAAAAAGGGAGACCTGACGTCACAAATAGTGAGAAAGCGCATTAAGTAAAGATGGTATAACGCTACAAATATACCTGTACATATATGGAGATATCAATTACTACAACAGAAGTACATTTCTACAATTTCAACCATGTCTACAAGGCAGTTAGAATAATGTGTATGAAATGTTTATTTACAGTAATAAAGGCAATATATCCGATTGAAACGGCAAACAAAAGGAAATATTTCTTTAACAAATAGAACAACGCGGCAGTGCTCGATTGAAGTGAATTTGTCGACCTCTGTTGCAACTGAGGGTATTGCCATATTTCCGAAATGTGTCATTGCAATCAAATAAAGATATGTATGTTATCTATGAACATATTATGCATGATGCTATTCTTCACATACACTTTTTCTAATTTTGTCATCACTCTCAGACATAACTAACGCGACGTATATATACCATCTTACTTGTCTAAACTGTTCCCTGTCTTATCCGATCCTTGTCTAAACCAGCTTTAATATGTTGCCCCTGTAATCGCTCTATAATATTTTCAATGTTCCGTTTATCTATCATCGGCTCCGTCTAAGCTGGACACCGGCGTTCTTTTACTGATATTATTTATGAGAAGCATTGTTAAATCCCTCTGTTCTATTTTTAACCTTTGTTTTGATGGCTATCCCTTGTGGGGTTTTTAACAGACGTAAAATGATCGATTTGTTAACTGTCATTTTACGCTTTTATTTCTCCGTTTTCTGCTTTCGTCGAGTTTAGGCATCGTATCTTATATAAATATATATTAAAGCTTAAATATTAAGCTTGTTAAAAGAATGGTTTACATCGCCAATACCGGAACCTTTAGTAGTATACACATAGTATAGCAAGTGACAATCATGTGCACGATCGTTTAGACATTGATTGTTCGTATTACAGAAAATAATCAATAGGAGAAATGAAGGACCTATCTAAAGTTAAGTTTGCAGATACACTAAGCCAACGAAGCAAACATTTAACTGACCATTATTGAGCTGTTCGTGCAAAAACAGAAGTAGGATATGTACAAAATTAGAATGTCAAATTTGATATATTTAACCATTCTCTGTCGTAATATAGAACATTTTAGTTTAAATTTTTGTCTTTCGGTTTCTTTTGCAGGCTTTTGTTGATACACATGCTAACTGTATTTCATCATTATTGTTTTGAAAAGTTGCGTTTTTAAGAACATTTCGATTAACTATATCTTTTTATGAAGAATGTATATTTATATTTCATCGTACATGGTTATTACTCTTCGTGGTAAACACAGAGCGTTTGAGGTTATAATCGTACTGGAACACAGTGTTAGCACGTTAACAGATGTAACAGCTTAAATCGTTTGAATGTATGAAGGGTTTAAATGTCAACCTGTCTGTCTTGGTTGTAGATGACAAAGTTTGACCGGACGGACTCGGAGGACGACATCCTGGAGGATTACAGCGACGACTGTAACTGTTCGTCTCGTCTTCATTGTATCAAGAGTCGAACAGCTCTTGAAAAATGTCTCTTCGTCTTTTCACTCATCGGTCTCATCATCATCATCGTCCTGGCCGCCTGTCTTGGATCCAAAACGCCACCTCCAGGTATGATTACACCAAGAAAAGGGTTTACCTTATCTGGCCTAAATGTGCTGATTATGTTAGAATAGTGTACTGGTATTCACTAGGATAGATGTATACATTGGACCAAACAGTTGAAGCCTTTCAATTTCTCCTTTATACCGAATATGGTATTAAGCTTATATATATTGCCTGTATAAAATATTTTGATATTCACTCTTTGCCATGCATCGCGTTATAATCCAGACACTCAATGAGGAACATAAAAAGTCAACCGATACACTTTTTGTATTGCGCACACGTAGATAACAGTCTGTCACTCCCTAATATGGCGGCTCATGATAGCAATTCAATTATGGCAAGGTCCAACACAGCATACAGAAACATACGGGGATTTCTTGCTGTTACGTCATTAGGTGTTTGTACTCCTATTCTTTAAACTGTTTTATGACTCATATTTATTCGTATTGATTATACTCTTATATAGCTCAGAAGGGAGGGCAAATAAAAAGGGAAAAAATAAACAAACAATATGTATTGTACAGTAAGTAACGATCGTCTCTTGTAAGCTGGTGTTGTACCGCTATAGTGGCCATTCCTCGTGGTGTTGTACCGCTAGTGCCCATTCCTCGGTGTGTTGGACCGCTAGTGCCCATTCCTCGTGGTGTTGGACCGCTAGTGCCCATTCCTCGAGGTGTTGTACCGCTAGTGGCCATTCCTCGTGGTGTTGTACCCCTAGTGGCCATTCCTCGTGGTGTTGTACCGCTAGTGGCCCTTCCTCGTGGTGTTGTACCGCTAGTGCCCTTTCCTCGGGGTGTTGTACCGCTAGTGCCCTTTCCTCGGGGTGTTGTACCGCTAGTACCCATTCCTCGTGGTGTTGTACCGCTAGTGCTCATTCCTCGTGTTGTTGTACCGCTAGTGCCCATTCGTCGGGGTGTTGTACCTCTAGTGCCCATTCCTCGGGGTGTTGTACCTCTAGTGCCCATTCCTCGGGGTGTTGTACCTCTAGTGCCCATTCCTCGGGGTGTTGTACCGGTAGTGGCCATTCCTCGTGGTGTTGTCCCGCTAGTGGCCATTCCTCGTGGTGTTGTACCGCAAGTGCCCATTCCGCGTGGTGTTGTACCGCTATTGCCCATTCCTCTGGGTGTTGTACCTCTAGTGTCCATTCCTCGGAGTGTTGTACCGCTAGTGCCCACTCCTCGGGGTGTTGTACCGCTAGTGCCCGTTCCTCGGGGTGTTGTACCGCTAGTGCTCACTCCTCGTGGTGTTGTACCGCTAGTGGCCATTCTTCGTGGTGTTGTACCGCTAGTGCCCATTCCTCGCGGTGTTGTACCGCTAGTGCCCATTCCTCTGGGTGTTGTCCCTCTAGTGTCCATTCCTCGGAGTGTTGTACCGCTAGTGCCCACTCCTCGTGGGGTTGTACCGCTAGTGCCCATTCCTCGTGGTGATGTACCGCTAGTGCCCATTCCTCGTGGTGTTGTACCCCTAGTGCCCATGCCTCGTGGTGTTGTACCCCTAGTGCCCATGCCTCGTGGTGTTGTACCCCTAGTGCCCATTAGTGCTCACTCCTCGTGGTGTTGTACCGCTAGTGGCCATTCCTCGGGGTGTTGTACCGCTAGTGCTCACTCCTCGTGGTGTTGTACCGCTAGTGCCCATTGCTCGGGGTGTTGTACCGCTAGTGCCCAATCCTCGTGGTGTTGTACCGCTAGTGCCCATTACTCGGGGTGTTGTACCAGTAGTGGCCATTCCTCGTGGTGTTGTCCCGCTAGTGGCCATTCCTCGTGGTGTTGTACCCCTAGTGCCCATGCCTCGTGGTGTTGTACCCCTAGTGCCCATTAGTGCTCACTCCTCGTGGTGTTGTACCGCTAGTGGCCATTTCTCGTGGTGTTGTACCGCTAGTGCCCATTCGTCGGGGTGTTGTACCTCTAGTGCCCATTCCTCGGAGTGTTGTACCGCTAGTGCCCACTCCTCGTGGGGTTGTACCGCTAGTGCCCATTCCTCGGGGCGTTGTACCGCTAGTGCCCATTGCTCGGGGTGTTGTACCGCTAGTGCCCAATCCTCGTGTTGTTGTACCGCTAGTGCCCATTCGTCGGGGTGTTGTACCTCTAGTGCCCATTCCTCGGAGTGTTGCACCGCTAGTGCCCACTCCTCGTGGTGTTGTACCGCTAGTGGCCATTCTTCGTGGGGTTGTACCGCTAGTGGCCATTCCTCGTGGTGATGTACCGCTAGTGCCCATTCCTCGTGGTGTTGGACCGCTAGTGCCCATTACTCGTGGTGTTGTACCGCTAGTGCCCATTCGTCGGGGTGTTGTACCGCTAGTGCCCATTCCTCGAGGTGTTGTACCGCTAGTGGCCATTCCTCGTGGTGATGAACCGCTAGTGCCCATTCCTCGTGGTGTTGTGCCCCTAGTGCCCATTCCTCGTGGTGTTGTACCGCTAGTACCCATTCCTCGTGGTGTTGTACCGCTAGTGCCCATTCCTCGTGGTGTTGTACCCCTAGTGCCCATTCCTCGTGGTGTTGTACCGCAAGTGCCCATTCCTCGTGGTGTTGTACCGCTAGTGCCCATTCCTCTGGGTGTTGTACCTCTAGTGTCCATTCCTCGGAGTGTTGTACCGCTAGTGCCCACTCCTCGTGGTGTTGTACCGCTAGTGCCCATTCCTCTGGGTGTTGTACCTCTAGTGTCCATTCCTCGGAGTGTTGTACCGCTAGTGCCCACTCCTCGTGGTGTTGTACCGCTAGTGCCCATTCCCCGGGGTGTTGTACCTCTAGTGCCCATTCCTTGGGGTGTTGTACCGCTAGTGCCCATTCCTCGGGGGGTTGTACCACTAGTGCCCATTCCTCTTGGTGTTGTACCGCTAGTGCCCATTCCTCGGGGGGTTGTACCACTAGTGCCCATTCCTCTTGGTGTTGTACCGCTAGTGGGCATTCCTCGTGGTGGTGTACCGCTAGTGCTCACTCCTCGTGGTGTTGTACCGCTAGTGCCCATTCCTCGTGGGGGTGTACCGCTAGTGCCCATTCCTCGGGGTGTTGTGCCGCTAGTGCCCATTCCTCGGGGTGTTGTACCGCTAGTGCTCATTCCTCGTGTTGTTGTACCGCTAGTGCCCATTCCTCGTGGTGTTGTCCCGCTAGTGGCCATTCTTCGTGGTGTTGTACCGCTAGTGGCCATTCCTCGTGGTGTTGTACCGCTAGTGCCCACTCCTCGGGGTGGTGTACCGCTAGTGCCCACTCCTCGGGGTGTTGTACCGCTAGTGCCCACTCCTCGGGGTGGTGTACCGCTAGTGCCCACTCCTCGGGGTGTTGTACCGCTAGTGCCCACTCCTCGTGGTGTTGTACCGCTAGTGCCCATTCCTCGGGGGGTTGTACCACTAGTGCCCATTCCTCTTGGTGTTGTACCGCTAGTGGGCATTCCTCGTGGTGGTGTACCGCTAGTGCTCACTCCTCGTGGTGTTGTACCGCTAGTGCCCATTCCTCTTGGTGTTGTACCGCTAGTGCCCATTCCTCGTGGTGGTGTACCGCTAGTGCTCACTCCTCATGGTGTTGTACCGCTAGTGCCCATTCCTCGGGGTGTTGTACCACTAGTGCCCATTCCTCGTGGTGTTGTACCGCTAGTGCCCATTCCTCGGGGTGTTGTACCGCTAGTGCCCATTCCTCGTGGTGTTACCGTCGCCTTGATTCCCGTGATAGGTTGATGTGTCATCATCCTCAATTTTTTTTTAAATGTAAACGTAGCAATTCTTTCATTTTTTGTAGAATCACTTGTTTATGGAATCACTTGTATATTTACCTGGTAGTTGAGACATCATAATAGCACGTTGTGGGGAGCTTGCTAGCACGTACACTAGAAGGTACAGCAGTCACAGAGTATACTGTAGACAGGATGTCCCGCCATTACCTAGCTATCCCTTAGAGTACAGACATGCTCTTACCTAACAAATCCGTTTCCCGTCGCATTTTTTTGCGCTTTGTTTGCACGTACTAAAAGGGAAATTACACTTAAATGCATTTAGCTGTAATGAAGCAAACACAGTTGATGGAATCGTTTGCGCCGAGTATTTGCATATAATGACCGATAGCAAGGGGGATCTCGACCTGAGATCGATGTCATACAGAGATCAGACTAGAGCGGACCAACACACGTAACGTGGGAAATGTGTACCTGTTTGACTCACCTGTAGTATAACTTCCTCGTAGAGCAAGTGAACTAAAGTGGGTTTTCTTGTCTGATTGAGATCATTCACAATTATATCATTTACGAAACTCGTTCGAATGATAAACAACTTTATATTACTGTACATCTAATATAACACGTACTGTAAGTGCAAATACATAGATCATTTTCGAGTGGAGAACAAGTCTGCACAATTGTATCAGTACAAGATGTTTAAAAGTCAGTATATTCTGTCGCAGTAAACTAATTATAATCCAAGAGATTACTGGTAATTTTTGTCAACCATTCGGTTGCAATTCAAGTATATTTACTGTGAGTTTTATTCAGGCACAATTCGACATTTCATACTTGAGTACTATAATTCCTTTTACGAATTCAAAAAGATTAAACATATTACTCCTGTTTCTTATTGAGAAGGAAAAGAATCATTTCATTGAGATACCTAGTATTTCAGGTAAGTTTAAGTATGGAGGAGATATGTGTATAACATGCCTCTGTTGTTGTATTTATACCTTTTTGGTTGTATCGTCTCTCAGGAATGTCGATATGTGAGACACAGGATTGTATTGAAGTGTCCAGTTCCGTCCTGACGTCCATGGACAGAAGTGCCGACCCATGTCAGGATTTCTATCAGTACTCATGTGGGGGCTGGGAGAAAAACAACCCGGCACCACCGGGGTACCTCATGTGGGACCGGTTCCAACAGCTTTCATACACAAACCTGTACAGAATCAAAGCAATACTAGGTTGGTATATTTTATACATGGATCATGTCCCATTGAACATTTGTAACTGATTTATTTTAGAGTTACTTCCCTTAACATTGTCTAGTTCACATGAAAAAAATTCACTCGGAATCATTCGGCTTTATCCGTATGTTCATCAATGTATGCAATTTATATGTGCCAACATTTAATTTACTTTAGCTCTTTAAAAGTTAAGTGACATGTTTCTAAGTTTGGAACCCTTTTGGTAACGAGATGCATATTAAATAATCATAAAAACAATATACAGAAACACCTATTAAAGTCTTGTGTGTAGATTTGAAAACCAAATGAAATAAACATTTTACTACACCAAAGTTCCATCTTGGACCCAAATAAAGTATTAAATGTCAAAAGAGTGAAAAGAAAACATGTCTTCCAATACCACATATAATAAATACAGTTGCCTATAAACCCCTCTTTAACCTTACAAATGCACATGTTTTGGCTTCAAAGATGATTTTTATCTTCAACTAGTATTTCATGTAAATTGTGTCGAAATGTAAACTATTTGCTAGAAATATGAAGTATGAACAATTCTTTCTCCAAAGCCAAGCATCGTGATCGCAATTTAAACTGAGAATGAAAGAGACTGATGGTTTAGAACTTGAAAATATAAGATTATTAAAAATGTTTTTTTCTCAGACGTAATCCAAACAGTCCTTTAATATTGCGACTACCTAGATATAATCAAAATTCCTAACAAATTACTGTGATTTGAAAATTGCCAGACAGGTTAGTGAACAGTGTTATGCTTGTGTAAGAGGGGACATTATAACCAAAATAAGTTCTTGTAGCAAATATTTGTACTTCAACGTTTCTTTCAGATGATCGAACGATGACGACATCGTCCGAGAAGAAAACCAAACAGTTCTACGACAGTTGCATGGCAGAAAGCAAGCTGAATCGGCTCCGGACACTAAGTGACTTCCGGTCCCTTGTAAAGAATATTACTGACGCAGCAAACGGAACCCTAGGGGTTCTTCTGGAATCCGTCCATGGTCTGAATGCATGGCCCTTATTTTCTGTCCTGGTCGGCACGGACGATCTCAACCCAGACAAAAATGTCGTCAAGGTATTTATTGTCATCGTATAACAAACAAGGAAACACAGTCCGACTTTTAAAGCTGTGGTCTAACCGTTAGCTCATGGGTTTCAAAAACAATGTCAACTCTGAGTCTGATACACATATATATAGTAACCGTACCTGTATGAGGGATGCTTTCCTGTCCACAGGTTGTAATGTGCTTCTTAGTTATATAAATAAGGCGAATCATATGCCAGCTCAACGTATTAACAAGTACATGCTTATTGACAAATCATTTACTTCCCATCGCGTCGAATCGAATTAATTTGTCGCAATTTCGTTGATGGTTCTAAGCATGAAAATAAATATTCTCTATTTAATACGTATACAATATCTGACATTGAAAAATCGGCACAGTGTAATTATTAATGTCTTTAAAAACTGTCATGTTGAATGTTTTTTCAACACCCACTAGGATTATATGGTATTTAATGTTGACGGCAATGTTGATACAATGTTGATAGGTGATTTTTTTTCTATGTTTCATATGAAACTAATCAATGTTTATTAGGAAAATACCTTTCATTGTTTGACAAATGGACATTATTTCATGTTTGAAATAGTTTAAATATTAATTGTTTAACACGAGTCCCATTTATTTCAGGATTTTCTTAGGATTATGACTTACAGTTTTTCTCGTTTCTCATGTTTGTAGATTGACATAGGCGATCACAAATATCCTCTTCGTGTAAAAGAGGTGCCGATTCCGTCCACTACGCCTGCGCCAAATATAAACAGCTCTGTGGCCCCGCCCAGTAACCATGCCGGATATGCTGTTATCAACGATCCTCCTACTCAAAGCAAGACTCAGTACCTACAATGGAACTCTACCGAGGTATACATACCTGTTTCGGCGTGAAGCGAACAGAAATTACATTTATCATTTGGTTTTGCCTTTTGTATTTGTGTCTTGTTGGATTCGGTTATTGCCTTTTTTCTGGTTACATTTCTATTTTACCTAACCTTAACCATTAGTTTTAATTTACTTACTGCATTGTTGGAGGAAGAGTTTTGCCTCGGTATAAGACAAGTATATGTGTCCAATTGGAAAGCAGAGATACTGGTACCTTGAGATTCTATTTTTATTTTGTAAAACTGATTATTTTAAGTTTTTCCCTGAACAAATATTCTTTATATTTTAAGAACTGTAATTTCAATAGGACTTATTCACTCAGCACACACCTTTATTAAATAATAACACAAGGTGTCCCGTTTTTGTTTCTACAGGTGGAGAAGAACTATCTCCAAGAAACTATCCGGATTTTAAAAGTGATATGGAATATGTCGGATGCTGACGCTTCCACCATGGCGAAAGAATTATTGGAAATCGAAAAGGCCATTACTAAGGTACTATTAGCTTTCTTAGAACCATTTGTCTATTTTATTACTATATCTACTTTCATACTTGTTAATTATTTGATATACGTGGACACTCTGTAACGTCAAACATCTATGTGTGTCTTTCGCTCATCTCAGCGAATGGTGTTTGCGAAACAACAATATGTAGACCCATCAGAAGTATCAGAAAACCCGACCTCTTGGGGCTACCCAATCATCCATGTTGTCAATTAAGAAAAAAAACGTTAATCAATTTCCCATTCTGGAATAGTTTGACAATATTATTTCTGTAGAGAGCTTACGGGTGTGTACTTTGTTAATGTTATTTTTGTAATTCTACAGACATATGAAAACAACAACAACAATGACAATCAGACGACGCCTGTGCCGATGAAAATAGTCGACCTAGAAACATCATGTAGCATGGTAAGTTACAACCCGTATGAGATAAAGCAAAATTCGACATTGAATTTTCACATGTAATTAAGATTTAACAATAAACCTATAATTTATCATATGAGTGAGAAGGCGTTTATATAACAATATCTCAGTATCAAGAAGAACATTACATTGGATAGGATTTTCCAATATTACACACACAAAAAAAACTGAGTTAAGTATGCTGGATAATTGTGTTTTTAAATATTTCGCTGGTTATCTGCTTTCGCACTCACCTGCTAGTTCAAGTTAGTGATTGTGAATGAAATTGCCTGTGCGTCATAGCCTGTTTTGTGGCCTGTGCGCTTGAGTTTTATTTTTCATGGTATTGCCTTTGCGTTTCAGATTGAGTGGCCTATGTACCTGACTGTTTTAACAAAGAATACCGGGGAGGTTTCAAGCACAGACAATGTGGTCCTGCTGGAGAGAGGCAGCCTCCTCAGAACATGTGCTCTAGTTGATACCTATAAAAAGGACGCCAACAAATTTAAGTGAGTCGCCTTTGTAGCTGCCGTAGTTGTCCGGGGAAAAATGTTGAAGAATAGAATAAAGTTAATAGCACTAACAAAACAAGTGTAATTATAATAGTATCATCTGAAGACATAATATATGAGTACATTGAGAACAGTGTCGGTGTTAATAAAGCTTTAGTAAAGATCAAAATAACAACCTATCTCTTTATGTCAATGAGTTAAGAATGACCTACTCAAAAGACATGTATGTTTTAAAATTGTTTCAATCCAGATTACTACAGAGATATATCATGGTACACCTCATCAGCCATCTGATGCCATATTTTGAAGCTGACACATTTGAGCCAGACCTTGACTACGCTGTTGGTAAGGAAATCTATCTACATAATTATCACTGAATGACTTGTATCATCATAAAACGGGAACCCTTCATGTAAATAGGAACCATTCACGATAGAGCGATTGACATAGATAGCTAGCGAGGCGAGTCTATAATAATACCTTTGATAAATCTTTCTACTTAATAAGTGAAATTTGCACCTTACCAATGTTATTATTTTTTTTAAAACTATTACTAATAGATAGTTAATCTTAAAGATATTCTGATAAAACAAATGTACAATGAGGACAAGATTAGTTCACTTTACCATTTGTATAGCTTGCGATTTCACCAGTTGATCGACAAAAAGACCATGTTACATACACAGCTTATACAATAAATAATCAATAGTCATTGCATGAAGACACAATAACAGAGGAATCATTTTTTTTTATTTAACAACAAAACAATGAAATGAAATATATAAACTAAAACGATTGACGGTTATTGTTGTGTCATTTCGACCTACGTTTTCGTCCCTTGTGATGACGCTGCTCGTTTTAAGTATGGTCATTTTAAACAGTAGTGTGGGTTTTTTCTGTTTTAGAACTGGAGATAGATGGCGAACACTGGAGACGGTGTGTCCATTACACTAATAAAGCTTTGGGGTTTGTTACTGGAAGTCTGTACGTGAATGGCATGGGCAAACACACTTCCGTCAATAAGGTATGTAAATGACATGCGCAAACACACTTCCGTCAATAAGGTATGTAAATGACATGCGCAAACACACTTCCGTTCATATTGAACGGTTTATATATCATCCTCATACGTTTTATTCACATATGTCCCTCCCTAATGTAAATTAAACTGTGCACTTTGCGATATTTATATGAATTTCCGCACCTTTTATGTAATTAATGTTGAATGTTTCTTTCAAATTAAGTTCTGAACATGAGATTTATGTAAGGTATTCTGTTCCTGTACTAAACCGAGGTAGATTAATTGGCTACAGGCGATGTTATGTAAGGTACTCTGTTCCTGTACTTATCCGAGATAGATTAATTGGCTACAAGCAATGCTATGTAAGGTAATCTGTTCCTGAACTAAACCGATGTAGATTAATTGGCTACACGCAATGTTATGTAAGATATTCTGTTCCTGTGCTAAACCGAGGTAGATTAATTGGCTACAGGCGATGTTATGTAAGGTACTCTGTTCCTGTACTTAACCGAGATAGATTAATTGGCTACACGCAATGTTATGTAAGATATTCTGTTCCTGTGCTAAACCGAGGTAGATTAATTGGCTACAGGCAATGTTATGTAAGGTATTCTGTTCCTGTACTAAACCGAGGTACATAGATTAATTGGCTACAAGCAATGTTATGTAAGGTATTCTGTTCCTGTACTTAACCGAGATAGATTAATTGGCTACACGCAATGTTATGTAAGGTACTCTGTTCCTGTACTAAACCGAGGTAGATTAATTGGCTACAGGCAATGTTATGTAAGGTACTCTGTTCCTGTACTTAACCGAGATAGATTAATTGGCTACAAGCAATGCTATGTAAGGTATTCTGTTCCTGTACTAAACCGAGGTAGATTAATTGGCTTCACGCAATGTTATGTAAGGTACTCTGTTCCTGTACTAAACCGAGGTAGATTAATTGGCTACACGTAATGTTATGTAAGGTATTCTGTTCCTGTACTAAACCGAGGTACATAGATTAATTGGCTACAAGCAATGTTATCAAATGAATTGGAAAAGTAGATGAGTTTATTTTGTTTCAGAAAGTTATATCATACATTGAAAAACAGTCTCACATATCCTCTAGCAGATCGGATTGCGATAGATAAGAAGTACTGATTTTATTGATATTCATAGGGGCAACTTATTTCAAGCTGATTTATTAACATGATTTTCATAACTTTAAACGTTTTGTAGATCAAACAGATTGTACAAGACGTGAAATTAGCATTTAAAGATTATCTTCTCCGTAAGATATGGCTGGACCCATCAACAAAGAAAGAGGCATCTCAGAAGGTAAGTGATGAAACCTCTGATTACAATAAGAGTATTAGGTACCAAAACTTAAATATTTGAAGTGATTGCATTACTTGTAGACAAGTAGTAATGTATTCATCTAAATAAAATAACATTGATTTTGTAAAACAGAGTCGTAACCATATAAATGGCCTTTACCCGCTGTAGACTAAATATCAATGTTATTTTTACGATGTCGAATTGGCGAGATTTTGAAATAAAGGTAATTCGGAGGGTTTAATTTCCACAGAGGACTGTCAAAAAGCAAAAATTCGAACTAATTCTCTATCAGAAATGTAATATGATTTGAAGCGGTCCTTTGTTATAAATACGTTATACTATACTTGCTATACCAATACATGTCTTGATAAACATTGAAACAGCTCTATTTTTAACGGTACATTTTTTTGTATTGCAGCTTGATGAAATGCTGGAAAAAATAAGTTACCCCGAATATATCTTGAAATCTGAGTTCCTGGACAAGTATTATACACAGGTAAACTTTAATGTCAAATTTGATAATTCCGTAATGGTGTGTACTTAACCATAAAATAACTGGATATAGGTAGCTCAAGATGATGATGACGATGATGTTTTACAGAAATATTTTATTTTCGTTTAGTTAAATATCGGCAATGATTGGTTTGTAAACGTACAAAGATGGCAGGAGTTCCAAGTTAAAAAGATGATGTCACTACTGAGCAAAGTACCCGACCGGTCCAGGTATGATATCTCATGTACAAGATGTTTGCTTAATATTTGGCCACGCTATTTTTAATTGTGCAGAAAGAAACTATTCTGTATAAGAAATTAAATCTCGCCTCATAGAATATTATGATATAATTATAATACTTCGAGGTTCTTGTATATCGCTTTATCACAATTAGTTCGTAGGTCGTCTCAAAGCGGCTCACAAATTAGTATCCGTGGTTATGGTGACGATACCAAGCTACATGTAATATAGGTCTTATGATTGCCTTATCTAGCATATACCCTTAAATAGATAAAACATCAAGCTTTTTGTTTTTGTTATTTCAAATACCGAATGTAATATCATCACCTTTACATCTATCAAAATATTAATATCACTTATATTATTTATATTAAAACCACGTTTTGGTAAGTTAAATTTTGCATATATTTTAGCTGGATTAATCCACCAATCACCGTTGAGTCAGACTATTCACCTGTGAGAAACGACGTCATCTTTCCGATAGCATTATTTCATCTTCCATTTTACACAGAAGCGGGTCCTCCGTAAGTAGCATTGTTATATGTATCATCGAGGGGGGTCCAAATAAGTAACATTGTTATATGTATCATCGAGGGGGGTCCAAATTAGTAACATTGTTATATGTATCATCGAGGGGGGTCCAAATAAGTAATGTTGTGGTAGCTTTGCATGAATTAGCATTCATATTGATTCTTCGATGTGTAATATATATAACGCAATATAATTTCATTTTATATGCGTGATTTGTGTATAAACTATTAACCTTTGGCTGCTTTAACGCGATTTGATTTAATTTTACGCTCTTTCAGAATATTTGCTCATGTCGTGTTTAAAAAAGCTAAATATTTCACACAGTTGTTAATATGCAATATCTTTTACTTTGGAGTTAATAGAATAGAGAAATCTTACGAGTTGTAATTTATTTCAAATGTTATTTTGTTCTCTTTTTTTGCTTTTAGAGCTTTCAATTTTGGTGCCATAGGATCGGTTATAGGACACGAAATAACGCACGCGTTTGACATTAAAGGTAGGATTGGTTGTATGCCGTGAAACTACACAGGACAAACATGCATGTTTAAGGGGTATTGAGTGACATTGGCTTACTGAAACATTTAAACGTTAAACGCTTCAAATTGTACAAAGCTATACAATCTGTAACGAGGACTTCGATTGGCTTATTAGTGCCCATATGATCCGGAATCTTCATTGCTATTTTTCAGTTAAAGGTAATTGGAATTCAATAAACTTTACATAATTAAATGTAACAGTGCTCACTACATGGTTAGATGTAATCCGATACAATTGTAAAACTCTATATACCAGGTAATGTTACTGTGATTCATACAAAGAGGATATATTTTTCTCTTACCTAATCAATTGCTCCACTGTACCCACCAGGACGACGATATGACGGTAAGGGTCGCCTCAGGGAGTGGTGGGATCCTATGACAGCCGATAGGTTTAAACTCACAACCAAGTGCATGAAGTCACAGTACGACGCGTACACCTATCAAGGTTTCCAGGTAAGATAGCTGAACGCACCGGGTAGAAATTGAACTGAAGCTAAAGTAATGCCGTATAAAATGTTTAACTGGTATTATGAAATATTGCCGAAGGTTCAAGCCAGGTTGTTTCAAAAAGAAAACAATGAGAATTAACTTGTGAATACCGCTTAACGTTCTGAAGTATAATTTCAGTTTTAAAATAATGTTAACATGTTTTTAATAATATTTTGTTCAATATTTATTTCAACCAATAAACTTATACTAAGTTAAAAGCGAGAGGTAAATAATCCATTTTATTCTTCAGATCAATGGTAATAACACGCTGGACGAGAACATTGCAGACAATGGCGGACTACGTGCAGCTTTTATCGTGAGTATTATAATAAGAAAGCGATGATTGTATACAAGGGTAAAACCAATCCGACGAATCTTTTGTCCCCTGAGATGTCTAAAGAGATGGCGCAATTGATACACTATATACGGCGTTATAAAACTGAAGATAGGGATGTCGAATATTAGTATATGATCTGATTTGTTTCATTTTTGTATTTTGGATAGAATTCATGATAACAATCTAAACTCAGCCAAGCAGAAACCTTCACGTGTACACTCTTTTTAAACTCAGCCAAGCAGAAAACTTCACGTGTACACTCTTTGTAAACTCAGCCAAGCAGAAACCTTCACGTGTATACTCTTTTTTAACTCAGCCAAGCAGAAACCTTCACGTGTACACTCTTTTTAACCTCAGCCAAGCAGAAAACTTCACGTGTACACTCTTTTTAAACTCAGCCAAGCAGAAGCCTTCACGTGTACACTCTTTTTTAACTCAGCCAAGCAGAAACCTGCACGTGTACACTCTTTTTTAACTCAGCCAAGCAGAAACCTGCACGTGTACACTCTTTTTTAACTCAGCCAAGCAGAAACCTTCACATGTACACTCTTTTTTAACTCAGCCAAGCAGAAACCTGCACGTGTACACTCTTTTTTAACTCAGCCAAGCAGAAACCTTCACATGTACACTCTTTTTTAACTCAGCCAAGCAGAAACCTTCACGTGTACACTCTTTTTTTAAATCAGCCAAGCAGAAACCTTCACGTGTATACTCTTTTTTAAATCAGCCAAGCAGAAACCTTCACGTGTACACTCTTTTTTAACTCAGCCAAGCAGAAACCTTCACGTGTACACTCTTTTTTAAATCAGCCAAGCAGAAACCTTCACATGTACACTCTTTTTTAACTCAGCCAAGCAGAAACCTTCACGTGTACACTTTTTTTTAATTCAGATGAAGTGGATCCTTTCATGTTTATGATTTTTACTCACGTGAATAATGCTTTTCTTTTCTCTTTAAGGCATATCAACTTTGGGAACGACAACATGGAAAAGATCATCATGTTCCGGGATTGAACATGACGAACAGACAGCTGTTCTTTGTCAGTTATGCGCAGGTAGGGCATTCAAATCACCAATCAGTCACGCGAATCTCATGTTATATTCAAGCTATGTATATGACAACGATTAGATAATGTCACTCTAACAATATATAACAACGATACTGAAGTGGAAACGTAAATGAAAAACAAATGTGTAAAATACCCATACACTGAAATGCTTTATATTGTTCTTTCGTTATTATGGGCCTCAAATGCATTACAATTTTTGAAGATATTGGACAAACACCCGACACATTTGTGTAATATCATTTATTGTTCTATATACGATATTATTGTGTCTCAGCCGATTATATTACGCTATATGTATATTGTTTTTCATTAGATGTTCTGTTCTAAATGGAAGAAGGATGGATTAATTGGACATCTAATTGACGATCCACACAGTCCGGGTCCAATACGGTATGTTACATTGTTGCTAATAAAAGAAAGCTTTGTTGACTTATCGTAATAACAGCTAAGGAGACGTCATTGTTTGTAAATTGATGTCAACTTTAGATGATACCATTGAAGTCGTAGGCAAGAGTATAAACGTGCAATACTTAAAAAAAATAATAATGTTTCACAAGCGTTGCTTTTAAAGTGTCAAACCACGAATCACAATGGGTTTCGTGTCGATCTGTTTTCTTTTTCAATATTTTCTTCACACCGTCAAGAAGGTTTGCATTTAAAAGAATATTTCGGAAGATGTCTTGCCTTCATTTATATGCCTCAATATTATACTAATGTTTCGATGGTATGTAATTCCAGGGTACGTGGTAGTGTGTCAAATACGGAGGCGTTTGCCGAGGAATTTAACTGTCCATTTGTGGCGAACTATAACCCAACAACGAAGTGCGAGGTGTGGTGATCCTGATGTCGCCGTTCGGTATCACGTGACCCTTTTGTTGAAGCCTAGTACCACGCGACCCTAAATTCACCACTTGGTTTAACGTGACCCAAATGTTGTCTCGAAGTGTCAAGTTAACCAAATATTGCTAACTGGTATCAAGTGACCTTAATGTGGTCGCTGTGTGTCACGTGACACTGACGTTGTCTCTGAGTGCCATGTGACCCTGGGCACGTGTGGGAAATGTGTTCTGTGGCTGTGTCGCAGTCCTGTACGGAACTGTGCTGATCGTCCATTCCTAGAAGCCACTTTTACACACAGATTGAAGAATGTTGTAAAAGACCTTGTTTTCATAAGTTTCGTCTTACTTGGTTTCCAAATATTACAACATCAATACAGTAAATTCTTGTATTTTCAAACATTTTATAACAATTACTTTGTATTGTTTATGTTGGTAGATAGTATTATCCGTTAAACGTAAGACGTGAAAAAGAGTACCTGACTGTATTAATTTGTATTTGTATTTCATTCCTGTTTTCGTTAACAATGGATAACTAAGTTCGAAACCGATGAAAATATTTGTCTACACGACCATTCAAGAATGATGTGGTAATATGATGCTATCGTTCTACAATACATGTGATGTACATTCCAAAACATTGGTGCCTTACGCTCTCGTACTTTATGCGTGATGGACGTCGCTAAGTAGATACAGCTAGTCTGGTTACGGTTTTTTGAAATCCCCGCACCAATGTCGGAATCGAGCGCACAGTGTGATGTCCATGGTTTACAAACCAGTGACATCATTTTGATTGTCTTATATCCAAATTTCAGTTTTGCATGCTTCATAAGCATGGATTCCGCTTTTTATCAAATATGCTTAAGATGGTTTCATAATTACAGTATTGAATGATCTTATTACGGTTGTAAACAATAAGAACAATAGTATATTTTCTTTTCAAATTTCACAATAGAATGCTTGAAAAGATATCCAAAACCAAAATTGGCAGCAAATGTGATGAACACATAAGCATTAACATAAACAAAAAATTCTTGAACAAAAATCCACACAATAACAAATAGTTGTTTTTGTACTTTGTATTATAGTATGCCTTTACATTTGTATCGCTACACATATATGTAGCTACTAGCTTGCAAGCGAGCACTAACGATCTCTGCATTGTCATTTTGGTTGAAATATTGCAACACAATTTGTAATTGTTTTGTAAATTTAGCCTGCATTTTTCATTTTCATTGAGTATTGGCAAACGTTTTTGATATCTGTGACCTTTTTGAAAATCGCACATATTCTTATGGTAACGACCACATGCCACATTATGTATTAGGTACAGGCTAGCTTGTTCTTTGATTGAATCAGTATACTTGTAGTGCTGCTTCAACAATATTGATAGGAAAAGGACGCGTATATTTGTTACTGAATTGGTGCCAAAGGAGGAAATACATTTATCTTCAGCATATGAATAGTAGGGGAAGACAACTTTCCCAATCCGTGTTGCTAGCTTTGTTTATATATTAGTTATATTCCTACCTTTGTCTTTCTTTCACAATCATGATAGGTAACACAACGAAAATATATAAACACATCCTGGAGTTTAGTTTATACGCGTAGCTAACAATATCAAATGTGGATGTAAGTTATTATGTTACGATAAAACCATATATTTATTAGTATATATAAAGTTTTATTCCTGGAGACAGCCAATCGTTGACACTTCTAAGCATACAATTCTACACTGTGAAGGAACACTTTATTTATCTGAAATGACTCAGAAACAAACATCATCCAAGTCCATTAAAGAGGGTTTATTCGGTTTTGATGATTATTGATAAAACTGTCAATAAGTTGTTATAGCTATAAAGATATTTATTGTTGTAATTTATCCACTTTATAAATAATAAACATCAGAAATAGCACGACGATTTGCAATTTATCCACTTTATAAATAATCAACATCAGAAATAACTCGACTGTTTGTTATTTATCCACTTTATAAATAATAGACATCAGAAATAACACGACGATTTGTAATTTGTCCACTTTATAAATAATAAACATCAGAAATAACACGACGATTTGCAACACGCTTGTCTGTGAGAAATGCACACGTACTATATGATCAAAATAGTATTTACACAATTCATCTACAATTGTATTATAAGTAACGTAATGAATCTCATGTCTCACTCCACACATTGTTATCATATTTAACATAATTTTGTATTGTACATATACATATTTTTACATCTTTTGCACAGTTTCCTATATGCACTTTTTATTTAGAGATTGAATTGATTTCATGAAATATTTTCCAATGACTTGATGTGTTTCAATGATTGTGAATGGATGAAGCGAGTGTGTTTTAACATGCTTTAGAAGGTTGTATTTTTAAAGCATGATAAAGATTTATGAGGTGAAATAAAAGTATAATGGACGGAATTGTGTGACATATTCATGAAGCACGATGATTGACATTTAGGGATAAATACTGCCTTACTATGAATGCATGTCTTTAACGAAAGAGTTCCGCGTGTACCAATTAAATTAACCCTTTCACCACTGTAGACCATAATGGACTCGAACAGATCAATGCATGGTAGAATCTACTAAAGTTACATTGGGGTGAAAGGGTTTAGAACCCTGTATAATTTTTGACAAATACGAACTATTGTTAATGCTGGATTACTAATTGATGCCACATTAAAATAGGCTAAATGAATGCATGCATTGATAACATTCAGTTCAATCTTTCTGACATTATTGGATGATGCCAATAAAAGATTTCTAAGAAAAAGGGAAATAACTCCAACGCAAATAACAGATAAAATGTACAAGGTAGCATAAAACGTTAGCGTGTCTACGTGAAGGATGCATATTCCTGAGCATTTACATGAGTGGTAAAACAATATTACCTTTACAATAAACCAGGTCTTAATAATTTGGCAAAAATGGAATCGACTTGGATAGCGCTGTAAATTAAGCTATCGCGTTTGAACACATTTTCCAAGGTTAAGTTTCATTACTTAGTTGTCAGAATATGAGTTAGTATTCATGTGACTAATACCTGAAAAGAATACGGTTTCGTTCTTTCCGGAGTAGCAACTTTCGCTATAATACTGGTATATTATTACATGTTACTTTTATCAATACTTGATTGTATATGCAATCTATAAATGATTGTTTCGCAAATGTGTATTGTTAACGTCATCTTGGAGACGGAATATAGATGTTATTGTGTCAATTTATAAACACGCTTTTAAATAATGCTGTATTAAATGTGTGATTTTATCATCTCTTACGAGATAAATATTCTCTTATTAAAAATGTGTAATTAATCTATAAGTGAGCACGTGTTTCGTTAATCTATATTTCAGTACGTGCAACGTTAATCTCTAACAAAACACGTATGGGGCTACATTTTTAACTGACCACACATGAATTGTTTATTAACAAACGATCATGTGTATAGTTAATTTATACTTGAGCACGTGTTCCATTAAATATTATTTAAGAAATGATTGTGTACATCGATAAAACCATCATTTTTTGACAAGTGCTTGATAATTCTGTAATTCCCTTTTTAATTTAGTGTTTCGTCATTCTTGTAACGTTCTTTTACTGTGTATGATTACAAATAAATTAACCACGTTTGGTTTCACGATGCATTAAACAAATAAAATTGAAAAATGTTGACAAACCTCCTAACTTGAAAAGTTAAATATATCATTTTTAACATTCCGACATGCCAATTACTTAAGTTAACTGGTTCTAGATAATGTCGACGCAGAACTTGCTTCAACTTTAAAATACACTTGACATACGATCAAACAGTTGTGTTCACAGGGGTAGTTACATGTAGTTGACTTCATAACAAAACGTTTATCATGCATCACAATATATTAGCACTATTGGTGATTTATGTTCATTTTCTTAACTTTCTCTTCTTCGTGTTTTTGAAGTACAATATTATGAGCTGTTTGTATTGGTATGTTGAGAAATGATGGTACTTAGAATAGTGGTGCTCTCTCTTTAACAATACACGTCTTTATCATCTTCGGTTTTCCGAAGAAATACCGTTAATATTCGCCATTGTTACATTTACTGTAGAAAACGCTGGTTATAAGCCAACAAAGGTAATGTGAGGTTTATACAAAATCACTTGCATAGGCGCCCCAGATGTTTAAACATGTAACCAATGCATATCGACAGTTTACAAGAAACGCATAGCTCTTAGTGTTAGTATAGGTCGACAGTGTCTTATCCGGGCGTCGTCTGTGAGAAAATGCAGTATCATAGAAAATGGCAGTTACTTCTCACTGTAAAATCAAATGTGAAGCTCCAGATCAGTTGATACCCAAATATTTTCTAATTTCGATAAGTAATAAATTTAATATAAATTTGGTTAGTATATGTTTTATTTTACAGAATGGATTCTAAATAATGCAGCCATCTTTGTATGCAGTGTGAGAAACCTGGATTACTGTGTTTTTTCAAATATGAAAAACCCAAGTTGTCCCCTAAAGCTCGTGCGTTACATCGAGACAAACGGGTCTGTTGTGGCGGGACATTGGGGACGACCGAATGTGTGGCAGTTACATGTATGGTGCTTGAATATATTCTATAAGGCCAATTGTACTTTCAAACTACTGAACAATAATTTGATTTTGATATTTGTTGTAAGGAATCCCCTATTAGCGATAATTATATAGTGAATACAAACAATGGTCCTATATATACTTTGCAACTTTGTAAATTAAGGAATTCATATTTTTTAACACAAGAATAAATACGAAACTCCAATTATAGTTTAACTTGAGTAAGTGTATGTGTAAATGATATGGCTGGGCATATGTTAATTAAATATAATAAGGATTGACAAATATTTGCGACGGATGAAAACATATTTTTAATTTAATCATGTAGAATGCAAGGACGGTTGATTGTCTCTATGAATTCTTCAATGTGATATTTTTCTTTGAGATATAAACATGCTGTAAGCAGGTCGATGACACGGTTGTGAATTATATGAACGATTATTGTTCTTGTGAGTATATGTTGATGTATTACTCTGATGAATGGAAGTCTGGTGAGAATGTACACACAATTGTATTCATTGTATCTACGCTATGATCAACTGAATAAAATTTCTAATTTTTCATCGATGTCCAGAGTTCAATTGTATCTTTTAATCTCTCTCTGGTCTGTTTATCTTTTTATGTTTGAATAATCAATTGGCGTTCTACTCCGAACTTAATTTAAGATATCCAGATAAAGACGAACGAGGAGTAAACTCAGATGTAAATATGTCTGTAATAGTCTACTGGACTACTATATCAGCATGCAAGGAGGAAAATGAAATGTAACGCTTACACAAAAGACACCAACAGGAACTAAAGAAACATCACAAACATTAGAAATTGGAGAGAAATCCCTTACGTCAGGAACTGAGATACCTAAAACAGAAACTTGGATTCCAACAAACCAGGAACAGATTTTAACTTTAAATCTTTAACTTTCAACTTAAACACCAGGACCTGGGTAGACAACAGCATGCCTCAGCAAACATCAACAACATCTTGAGATACAAACAACAGAGGGACTTGGTGGACGGCAACAGCAAAAAGGAACAACACACATAAAAATAAGAAAAGTAGAAAATATTCGGCTTATGTTGCCTGATACTCGGTCATGTTACATGTTTGGAAAGATGGCTTTAAAACCTCTCATGACGGGGTGATATTTCAAAATTTAACATATTTTATTTCTCTCTTTTATCTCGAAAGGCTGCATCTCGCTAGAGGGCCTCTTTTTTAAATGGATGTTTTAACCCTTTCACACCTATGCAACTTGAGTAGATTCTACCATGCATTGATCTGGACGCGACCATTATGGTCTACAGTGGTGAAAGGGTTAATAAACATCCAATCGTAAAAGCATTTCAAGAAAAAGGGCCGACATGTTACACACTGAAAAGTAGAACACTGTATCATTTTCATTTTATCCTTTTATTTCTTGATAATTTAAGTAAACGTTGTAAACAATAAAATACAACAATAACAAAAAAGATTATATTTTGATTGATAAGGAAGACAAAAAATATCAGCCGGTGAGGATCGCACTAGTAACCTGAGGTAGATATGATGGGAACTACCGTATTCTCCTATAGTTCTTCCTAAGTACGTAAGCAAATTGTAACAACTGTGTCAGGATGACGCCATTTCTCTCATGGCGACAACTTCCTGACTTGACAGAACACCATGACCGTACGACCGGTGTGTATAGTCCGCTTTCAGGCACACGACTGTCCACAGAAATATTTGCCGCTGATAACTCCGTGTGAAGTTTCCGAATGGTTAAAAACAATTCACATATGACCCTCTCAGTGCCTAGTCTAGCACTGACAATACGATTGGACATTGACTTTTTGCGCTCATACTCCTCTTCGTCATTTTGCATGAGTTTCAGGACGCCAACCATTGTCGTTAAAGTGTCATAGTCGTGTTCTAATCGCAATACTAACTGTAAAGAAGGATATCAAATTGTAACTTAAAATGGAACTCATTAAAAATGATCATCATAAAAATACTCTCATGGATAATTTAATTACATTGTGCAACTTTTTTTGTTTGTTTTGATTCTTACTGGAAATGTAGAAAGAAAAATGTATTAAGAATATATTTTTACAAAAGTCTTTTATTTAAGTAGAAATTTGTACCTCATTCTATCGATTTATCGAAAATTATTTGTTAATGACCAGATATAATTTACTTTGAGCTATACATATAATGAATATATTTATTTTATGTATCTTTGTATATTAGAAAGGCGTTAACGTATTATACAGAATGGGACAATGATATCCTTAAAACATTCTATTGTGAAATTGACAGATAACCAGTGGAATGACATTGAGTTTAGTTAAGTATGATCATCAGAAGCAGGTTCCTTAAACGATTGCCTAAATGTAAGAGAGACTGGTGTGAATAAGATTTTCAATAATGAGATGATGATATAATAAATAAATTGTTTACTGTATATATGATCTAGTGTATATAACGTTGTTTACTGTTAATATGACGTTTTGTAATTAACAATATTTACTATCAATACGACGTTGTGTAATAAACAATATTTACTGTACACATGACGTTATGGTATTAGCAACATTTACTGGTCATATGATGTGTTGCAATTAACGTTAATTACTGCACGTGTGATATGGTATATTTAACATTGTTTACTGTACAGATAACGTGGTATAATTAACATACCTGTTTTTCCCTTTTGGTAGACAGGTGTTTGCGACCTTTGAACTCCAGCGGTCCTAGACATGGGTGGAGAGATATGAAGTCGGTGAGGTTTTGAAATGGTGCCTGATCTAGTCCCCGTGCAACAATCTGTAATGGAAAATGTTTAATTGAATACTTCCAAAATTTGTAATAAATCCAGTGTAAAACCGACCTTGTTTTTTAAAGAGAAACATCTGTATGGACATTTTATGACTAGATTTAAGAATCATTTCTCCATTAATGCCGGATGAATTCACGGCATTTCAATTTGTCTTTGAATGCATGCCTAACTTCAATATTCAGGCGAGCTGCTTTATCTCATAGTTTACGTTATTTATTTCAAAGAAAAATGATAATGTATACGTAGTTCATACTTCCGCTTTGTTGTTGTTATAGCCAGGAATTAAATATGAATTAATGTTTCCTGTTAAACTGTTCGAATTAACCTATTTGATATTCGAATGATTTATCAAAATATTGGAGATTCAGTTCAGAAGGCTTCCCTAATTATGGTACTGAATAGAGAAATATCCACGTGGTAACTAGATCCATTCTCTAATACCAAAACACGCAGAGTCCTAGTAATAGAACAACATTTATTTACAGATAAAAGCGAATTATGAAAATTGATCAACATTTCATCGCTAGCAGAACGAAGTTCTCGATATAGTCAAGTTGTAAGAACTACGATGGTTTCCATTATGATCCGGTATAAAGTTATTTCAATTTTTTATTGTAAAAAAGTATATATTGTCCAAATATCCATTTAATAGCAAAATAGAATTATAGATAGATAATAAATAATGTCAACAACCACAAGAGCTGCAAGAACTCACGTATTTTTCCTTGAGACTCTTCATCTGCCGAAACATATAGTTCGCACGCTTGAATAGACGCCTGAGGCGGAATTTTAACGTCGACTCGTCCACGTAGCTACTAGAGAAAGACTCCTCGCTAGATTCCAGGGTACTGATCTTGCTTACGTCAATTCCTAAACACATGTGGTTTGTTCTTGTCTTGAGGTTGCGTTCCTCTGTAGAACAACTGTTTCCATGACAACTGACCTGTGTCATCCTCATAGCAACTAAAATAGTAGACAGAGGTCTAAATTGTGATCTCGAATATGTGTATGAAGGTTCGATTTTAGTTTCAAGCGAAATTAAATCAAATTACTGCCTTAAATAGACATTGTTTCACGTTTTTGTTCATACAATTTAACAGTTTGTATACAAGTAAGACAATGACGTTAAATACACGTGTCTAATGTCAGATATTTGAAATAATTCTAAAAAATAATTTTCTGTTCTCTTAAAGTTAACATATTGTAGATGACATATCTTTACACGTTTTCCTTTCGAAGACTACGTATATCGGTTGAAATGGACATTTCATGAAATTATCGTATTAGGTATCAAATTATGATAGTTGATACATGTAACACACTGTAATGCGATGTTTAAAATACAACTGGTACTGTAGCAAAGCAACGTTTAAAAATTAATCACCCGTGTCCTACTGACTGGTCACCGTCAATTCTACCAATTAGTACCAAAATATTCCCACCCATCGATAATGTATATCAGTGAAATGTAATAGAGAACAAAAATACAAATCAATACCTAACGAAAGATATATTGAGCAAAATAAGCCGTAGGGTATGTAAATAAAATACTTACATAAAATCAGTAAACACACTATTTCATTTTGAAACGAATACATTTTCAGTTCTCTTTTCTCTCGATATTGAATTTTCATTTACTGTACACTTACGTAAAAGCTCCATTTTATACAGTCTTACCTGAAAATCAGGAATTTCGTCGGTAAAGTTCCAGTCGGATACTCGCCCCATTGGTATAACTTCCTCATACTCCTTGTACGTGGAAGCAGCACACAGAAACCAATAGTAGACCTATGAATTTGTATCGAACAAAGCAAAATGGTGATACAAATTTGCCCCACCATACCCTCCGAACTACGGAAGATCGCAGTTTCCGACAGCAAGGGAAAATTCCAGATAATCCATTACGAATCATCCAATTTTACGACATAAAATGGTTATGAAATGAAATTTTCAAGTTCAGTGCTGCATGTCGTGTTTCACCACAGGTGTCTTTTCCTATTTGTGATACAGTGTGGCATGCCACTCGGTGTGTACAGTGTGGGTGTTTGTTAAGAAGACGAGACATCCAGATTTGTTTATTAAACCTCCTAGACCGTTATGTGACTTGAATTATTCATATTACCAAACAGACTGTAATGACGATTTTGAGACTTTTTTAATTAAATATACAAATTGAAAACACTAAAATAACTTGTTAAAAGTTTTTTTTATGATTCTATATTAGGTTTATTTACGAGGACTGTGGTAAATAATAGGATATAGCAGGCAGACATGAAATTGAACCCGGGTCTGTTACCCTTAACGTTCGTAACGGGTATTTGATCAGTATCAAGTAATATGATAATTGTTCCCCTTTGGGCAAGCTGTCTTTATGAACTATTCAAACTTAATGTCGATTGAAATCACCGTTATGTTGACTCGTCTCAAATAATGTCTCTTTTGTTGGGGATTTTGTTAAAAAAAATCCTTCCACAAAATAAATCTTACTAAATTAAAATATTTTCAAATATATTTTTAAATGTTTATAAAGGATCATCAAAATCCTTTTCAATAGTGAATGCTTAAAGGCGTCGTATTTGCTAACGTGTGATGTATTATTAGTCATTTATATGGATGTTACCGGATTTACATATCAATCATACACATAATAGCAGCTTTAGACGGAAACACAATTCCGTTATAATACAGGACTTAACATCTATATTAAATAGCCTTTTATAGGTCAGAAAGCGTTTATAATATTGCCATCAATTCACTAAGGATTTCGTATATACCACTATCTATGCATATAAAGATATAATTTAAAGTCTTTTTGATGCAGGCAGAAAAAAAAATGAAATAATTTCAATATCCATTTATCTTGACCCAAAACCGGCATGTCTTTACAACAATGCGTTCACATAGTTTCCTTAAAAATACTCTGAGTAAACACAGCGGTACTTCTGACATGAAACTATTAAAAACATATCAATAAATGCACATGTTTGCAGTCTATGTCTGCCATACAAAAACATAAGTTAGTGTTTAAGTGTTCTGAAGCACATTTATTGTAAGTAAATTAGAAATAAAGTCAAAGGACAGGAATTTCAATGTCTTCAGCAAAAGAAGTTACAACGATAATGTAACTTTTATGTATTAGGAAATTATCACCAGGGTAATAATTCCGATAAAAACGGACGTGCTGCCATACTTCCTAGAACGGACTTTCATTAAAAAAAAGGTCGAACTTGCCCCGGTCCCCCTCTTGTTATGTCGGTCTTAATCTTATTAGAGATTGTGTTTTGGTTATTCCTCGACTAACCGACTTTTAATAAAGTTTATCTGATATCATTCTGAAAACAAAACAAAAACAAAAACAAAATCCGATAAATATTATACTAAATGATGTTGCATTTATTCAAAGAAACAAGGACATTAGATGAAAAGCAAATTACAGCTTAAAAAGCAAAGGAAGAATTAGAACTCAAGCCCAACACCAAAGCACCACAGGAGGTTCTGTCATGTTACCCAGGACAACATGTGGGCCACCACCGATCTTAGATATTACTACATTTTATAGGTGAAATTACCCGTGTGTGTCTTCCGGTCATCCCTCGAGATACAAGTCAGTAGATTAGGCTTACAAGTCAGTAGATTAGGCTTACAAGTCAGTAGATTTGGCTGATTTGCAGTTATAACAAGTGCTCTTCAGCTTCGTAAAATTGATTATAATTAAGTGTTTCCATGCATCCCCCCCCCCCTCCCAATCTTTGGTTTCAACAGGAGTTGGGCAAATTTGGTTTCAACCGCTTTGGCCCCTCACATCAACTTCGTAAAATTGATATGAATCAAGGGTTTCCATGCATCTCCCCTCCCGTCTTTGAAGAACGAAACAGCCGCATGGTAATCCCTTTTTTTAAACAAATGACCTGTGTATGCCTTATTTTTATAAAGCGAAATATTATTTGACCATAGTTTGAGAAACAACCGAAGAATACTAAAGAAGCAACAAATGCACAATTCGAACTCAAAATCGATAAAACTAGGGTTAAATATGAACAAAGGAAAAAATTACATTGAAACCAATGAAAAATTACAAGGAGAATTAGACAATGCATTCCTGAAGGGTAAACGTCCTTTTCTTCATCGGCGACACCCGCCATGTAAATCTAGGTCAAATCCAAGTAATGCCGCGTCCTCAAATTAAGAAATCATTTTAGTGACAACAAACTCACAAAGCCAACAAATGAGCATAATAGAAACAGCATCCACCCTTTATATTACACACAAATGGCAAATTGACCTATGTGTCATGAGGGCGACCTTATAACTTGTCCATATTTCCAACAACCTGCATATCTGGAAGACTTGTTTGTCCGTTAGCAGTCGTCCTGTTGCCAGGAGCACGCTCTTGAATAACAATCAATTACGACATGAAAACATAGTAGGTAGGGGTACGGGGATGTTACTGTCAAGGAAGCGTGAGCTCACGCGCGAAAAGTCAAAATCGACCCGCTTATCGTAAAGCGTAGTAGTAAACCGTCTGTCGTGGAAATATTGAAAGCAAAGATCGTGGAAGGAGGCTGAAGTAGAAGAGTCTGTAGTATCCTTGATAACAAGCTCAGGAGGGTGAATAAATTATAAGAATAACTAGTAGTCAATTTAAATGAAACACTTTCATGTTTATGTTAACACTTGGGGAAAAGTTATTTCGGACATTTTCCATTTTACATAATAAATATAATATAGTCAAAAACAAAGAAATTGCCGTAATGTACAATAGGAAGTTGTTGTTTTTTTAATTCAGATTAATATATAATTTTTTTTTTAATTTGTTTAAATTAGCTAAATTGGTCTTTCTCTCAGATATTTTGTACCTGTTGACCTGTTGTTAATACACAGGAACTCTACACTCTGGGCATAGTCGGTTTAATATCGATTTTAGAGTGGTCCGTCACTTTTAACTAGTTTATAAGGAGATAGAAGGTTGGATAACATAAGGGTGCGAGATATATTCCTGACAGCACTTTTTGTCCACATTTTTCTAAAAGTTAAGCAAATAGAGTAAAACATATCTTAATTTCTTATTTGGTGTATTTTTTTATGACAAGATCAATGATATCATATTTCACTCCTGTACACTTTCTAAAGTTTAGAAAACTTACCTTTAAAAACCTTTCATAAATTCATTTTCAATTATTTGTCAATCCTGCCAATCAAGATGTGAGAACTCAAACAGGATAATAAAATATATTTGAGACCTGCTTTTACAAGAAATTCTTTCATAAAAATAAATTATCTGATGTATCCAAAGAATGGAACTTGATAGCTTTATGAAGGTTGTTTTTGCTGTAAATGTTTAAGGAACGCTTTATCAGTGGATTATTTTCGTTGTCCTTTATTGCCACTGACAAATCATAAATGGACAAAATGGTCATATGGTGCAGTGGATTGAATTACAAAATATCGAAATAGATGCGTCAAATTTAAAATATGTATTTCTACTGTTTATTTTTAAACAATCATTGAGGCACGTCACAACTACACTTAAGGAAACTTACTTTAAGTAAATAAAATTAAGCTCATTATAATGACAAAACATAAAAGAAAGAACTTACGATGTACAACACGAATATGTAAGAAATTAAAGGTAATTAACATCATGAATATGTCAGATATAAAAGGTAATTAACGACATGAATATCTCTTAAATTAAAGGTAATTAAGTAAATCTTCTAGTGATATGTAGTGTGTAAAACCTTAATTGATTATGTAACTAAATACCAGAATCTGCTATATCTTATATGCAAACAACGTTCAGCTACTAATGTAACAGGAAGGAGAATCGCAGCCTCGAGAGGTAGTTTTTGCTAGGAAACTTACATGAGCAATGCTAATTAAATTAAGAATAGTATCAATATAAAAAATCGTTACTTTTCAATGTACTTGTGAATATTTCACAGTAATTTATGTCCATTAAAATGACGTAGAAGATGATAAGGGTTTTAGGTGTATTACAGAGGTAAAATATACAGGAACCACATCGTCATAGCACATTGACACCACATGTTCCGGAATTCCAAGCCGAACCAAAAGAACAGAAAACAGGTGCACAGAAGACATAAAAAGCTAACGGGAAGACATCATTTATCATCAAAGGAGTCATGAAGGGAAGTTTATTTTCTACCCAATAGAAATAATTTCATATTCAATATAACGTTAAACAGATAATATGATTAGCGTATCAGTTAGGCGTTAACGGCGTATGAACATCACCTCAGGGTACTTAATCGTTATGTCAATGCCATTTAAAACCTTTTTATCTACTTTGATCGTTGACGGGTGACGGTTCTTTATTCCTTTAACAGCAGTGCGGTATCTTTAAGCTACGTGTGTGTTTGGGGAATTTCATAATAATCCGGTAAATGCATTTCTAAAGGTAGTAGATTGAAACATTTATTGATAATTAAAATAGTTTGTATGTTCAGTATGTCTTCAATATCAGCCGTCATATTCATTCACCTAAGGATCCCCGTACCGCTGCAAAAAATACTCAATTTACAACGACAAAGGACAACTTGATACAACAAGGACAAAAACGGATCTGAGAAGAAACCAACACAATCGGATAATCATCATAAAACCACAGGAATTAATAGGAAATGAAAATAGTAACTCTGGCATGGTCAACATTTTCTGAATACATAACACAGAGATTAAACAAGAAGTGGTTAAAAATGTTCATTCATATCTAACTCAAAATAAAAATAAAAAATTCAAATAAGACGATAATAATAATAATCTTTTATTTACAGATTAAAAAAAAAAAAAAAAGAAGGTTTTAATATAGAATTTATTAAGCTCGATAAATATGATCGTGAACAAAGATTACGAGTTTTAAAAATCCATTTTCCCCCCGATTTTTTTTTTTAACATTCAATCTTGACGGCTGCGTTGCTTTAAAAACTACAATTCAGGTTCCGTAGGACATTTTGGTGATAGGTTTGCTGACTAACCATCACACGGCTATCCAACTGGATGAAACGTCAAATGTGTTCGTAATGTTCGATTTTTATCAGTTCTACGTTTTTGCAAAGCTTACCACTTGAAATAAAATCTATCAGGAAAACAAACATCGCGGAAGAATGTACGTAACGAAAAAGCACGTAGTCAATGCGGGTCTACTTAACCCGTCACGTTCCAAAGTTCAGGATTTTTACCAAAGTGTTGGAAGGTGTCATTTAACAAGTTAACTAACACTACATCTCTGTCTTTTCAAAGACTGCATGGGAATTGATCAACCGTTCAAATCGGAGGACATAGATGATTGGATATTGAATTCCTAGCTTTTGTAAGCATATTTAAATTAAACATTGTTCGATATTGATATTTTTTCAAATTATTTTTTGTTTCTTTATTTTAAGCCAATAATTCACAAGTTAAGATACAAACAGATTTCCATACACATGTTTTATTGTATGTGCCCAAACATATCTCATAGTACTAATTTTACTGAGCATTTATGACGAAAGTTATAATGGAAACGGGTAAGTGTTTCATGTTAACAGAAAAGTTACTTTATCCGGTATCACTTAACTGTTACCAGATATCAATTACCCTTTGTTCATATTCTGTCAGAATAGTATCGGTTATGAGTTCAAATTATAGTTTCGTAGACATTTCGACATTCTCTTTTTTTAAATACATATGGATGTGAATTCCGCCAAGGATTGCTTAAATGTAAACAAATATAAGAAACTGATACCTTTTCACTTTAAATAAATAAGGTAGCGGAAACGTGTAGGGTGGCTTATTTCGAATGTTATACAATATAGACAAATGCTCCGTAACAGTATTAATAGGTGTAATGGAGATTTGCTTAGCAGGAAGAAAATTTGTGATTTCTATACCAAGATCGCAATAAATTCCTTTCCTTTGGTAATTCAGACGTAACTGCAATGTTCAATTAATTTCACATTAGAAAATCAAAGATAAATTGTAATGGAATAATTTTAAATTGCTTTAGTCATTCATTAAAACCACGGTTATTTTATTGGTTTACTTGTAGTTGTGACGAGGGAAAATAAACCATATGTAATAAATCGAGTAAAGAGCTTGTTAGAAATAGCACAACTATTCAGTTTTCCCCGCACATTGATCGTAAATATCACCACTGCGTTTAAAGGATTGTCCACCATTTCACAATAGTACAGAATGTAAACATGTATTTTCCGTTATCTTAATAGCTTTCCTTTCCCAACTGGCTGAAAAGATTAAAGCTTTGACAGAAGAAACAATTTTGAGAATTGGGTGTTCAAGATTGTTCAAGACATCTTTTGAACCCTTCAGTACACCTTCCTTTTATCGTGTTTATGAGTACACCGTGTCACAATACGACGACAATAATGACCTTAGTGACGTTATTAAACAGACGTGCAGTGTAGATGCTTTTAAAAAGAAAAACATAGAATTGGTTTACAGTTAGTAATAAGTGTGATACATAAAGATATCTGTGATATCTACCAATGTTTATACAAAAAAATATGCATCTTTTATTAAGATTATATTTATTATCCTTCTACCATTATAATTGCCTTATTAAGTCTGTACATATATGTATACCAGGGCCGTATTGTAAACTAGGCTATGTCTAAACATTTAACCCTGTAAAAATAAAAGATATTATTATTATTATTATTTAATGGCACTAACAATGGTAGTGATCCGAGTGTGGAGTATGCCTTGGTTGAGAAACTAGAAGAGCCAGCGGTAACACGTTGTAACCTTGGTGATCGTAAGTATCCTTTTTGAGTAGTGACATGGTGTATACTCACTTTACTCATTAGCCTGCACTTAAACAGTACTCCATTAATGATTGATGCTCATGTAATGATGTACCTCCCCATACGCTTCAGCATTAGAGCAATTTGAATTTCCAACTTTTTGGCCAATAGCATCGCCGATGAGTCCTTGATGGACGAAATGTGTAGGGTGCGATGCAATTCATGTTTGGCATATTGTACCTGTTGACATTTTTTAAATGTACAATCATATATGTGTATATGATGTTTATCATTTATAAGGATTCTTTGAAATTTTATAATCCAATACAAAAGACGAAGGTCCGTATCCTCATCATTAATCGGTATTTGAAAAGACTGAAATACAGAAGATTGATTTGCTAGAATTTCGTCTTTTAAATAAAACATAAATTGTATAGGTAGGGTTTCCTTGGTAATGAAGCAGGCCTAGTTCTGTTACAAGCAGGCGATGTTTTGTTGCAGACAATGATTAAGTATTTAGATGCTCCTTCTGAAGACACAGCTACATATAGCTATCGTGTAGAACGTTGTGTAATTCGGAGTCAAGAAGCAGCTAACTCTTTTTAAACTTTCCTTGAATTTTCGGGAGACAACACGAGTTGCCACATATATAGTGTACAAAAAGGTCATCTATCCGAAGAATACCGATTCATCTCCGATGTGTTTTTCTTCTTAAATCCTGCTGGTGCTTCTTTGGTTGTGATCTAAATCTATGAATTTGCTGGAGTTTACATTACACATTTTGATGTGTCCGATTCTTAATTATATAACTTCTGTCGTTTAAGCTTCTTTTTAACGTAAATCTACTAATTTGTTTTTCTTTTTGCTAGAATCTAGTTAAATTCCCATACAATAAATGTACTTGCCAATGAAATACCAACTCTCAATATTTTTTTAGGAGACAGCACGATTGTTTATCCGTCGAAAGGGCCTTTATTTTAATGTCTTATATCTTGTTGGCATTTCAATATTTGTGAGAAAGGAATCATTTGGCGGCAGTCAACTTTCAGGACCACTTGCTGGGGAGAGTGTCATGAAAATTTTCCTTCGTGTTTAAATCCTTTTGTCTTTTAGTATTGATTTGGATTCCATTTTTGTCCACTAGCGGTGTAAATGCTATGGTATTTTTATTTTGAAATTGAAAAAAATGGCTTCAATACGAAACTCTTCAATCATTCAATTATCGAGATTTGATCTTGCGTGTAGACACATTACATTTAAGAGAATTCACTTTGGTCCAGAAGCGAAATAAATTTCGAATAATGTCCCGATAACATTGTTGATATTTCTGCATTTTTTTCTTGGACCATGGATAGAGATTGGTAGATGATTCTAGTCACACACCATGTCAGGAAATAAATACAGAAAAAAACCGCTCAACTATAGATATTGACTTTCAATAGTATTTGTATAAGAAAACATACAAATAACATTTGTGTATTTATATTTTAATAATATCTGTTGTACAATTAATAAAGATGTAAGAACTACAGATATAAATGTCATACATTTTAGTTTTTATTCACTATGTTCACAGAATAACGCTTCTATCTGTGGGCAAACTTACAGATCCCTGTAACATTCTCAATTAACCTTTGAAGAAAGTAATGCATCATAAGGAAAAAGTTCAAGGACAATTATTTTTCATCTTAAAAAGATTCATTGTATGTTAAAATAGATACAAACATTCATCTTTCATCAAAGCACTTGACCACATGATACCGGAGCCAGTACAGCACATTACAAAATCCTTCTGGGAAAACACCAACAAGTTCTTGCAGCGAAACCCACATGTATATATTTTTTCATTTGAACAATCCTAAATGCATAGTATTAAAACAGAGCTCCTAGACCTGTGGCAGATGCAAAGGTTGTAATGCTTTGTGCAGCTTGTTTAGTTTCCATCAGGAGCTTACCTTCCCTTATCCAATCAGATGCCAGAGCTCGTGGCAAACCTTCCAACTGATTCATAAAGCGTACAGCTAGTTCCAAGTTTCCTTGCTTTAGCCAAAACTGTGCATGATCTACTATAGAAAATGTATCCAAGTCCTTTGGATCAACAGTGGTTTCCTCCATTTTAAGATTCACATTCGAAAAGACAAAAAACGATTGGACGTAGGACAGGAAGAAGGTGAAGAGCGAGCTTCTCGACTCATTGACGAGAGCGACTCTCCTACACTTCCTACTCACATCTCTAAACCTGGCATTCAGGTTATCTTCTGTCCAGACACCACGAGTCAACGCAGCCTCGGGAATGGTGTTTATTATAGTGGCAACAAATGGGTGGTGACCTGATGCTTCAGCAATGGCAACCACCTTTCCTTCAAGGGGCGCAACCTGTTCCTCCCAAGACTCGCCAGATTTGTTACCCACACGGATAAGACCGTTGAGGGCCAGACATGCAAGCCACAACTTTTTGGCCTGCTGTCCTGCCTTCCCTTTCTCTGCCTGGACTGTAAGTATAACAAGCACAGCTTTATATGATGGTTCACATTTTAGGTACTTAAACTTAATTTCATGATGTTAACGTTGTTGCAAACAGAACTAAAAAATACTACTATCCTGTTATTTACAGTTTGTTTATAACAGCTATAAATGAGTGGAAAGGTGGGGAGTCTACAAATAGGTGGGTCTACAGGGTGGAGAGTCTACATGTAGATGAGTTTACAGAGGTGGTGGGGGGACTGAGTCTACAGAGTGGAAAAGTGGGGAGTATACAAGTAGGTGAGACTACAGAGGTGGGGGTGGGGGTGGG